TCGCTCCTGTTGTCAGCCATAGGCGCCCTTAGGGACAGCAGGTACGGGCGGCGGGATGCTCCGGCTTCCTCTGTCCCCCGTAAAGGCGTGTCACAAAGAGCACGAAGTGTCCCTGCTGAAGGAAGGAGCCCTGAATGGGTGTGCTCCCTGTTACACGGGGTTAAACATTAGCGACAGGCCGGGCGGACAGAGGTGTTTTCAGAGTGTGGTAAAACATACATTCCTAGAAGATGCATGCCAGCGTCAGCAGAGGCCAGTGATGAAAATCAGTGATTTCAAAGTTACGTGTGACACGTGATAGTCAGAAAGCCTTAACTAATGTCATCTTGATGACCTTTTTTTGTTCTGCCACCCTTTGACATTATCAACAAGTTATTTAATTTTACTTAAAGTAAAAACGCAGTCACCTCTGAGGTGGAAAAAAAAAGCCAAAACATTTTCAATCTTCTAAAAAGTGCTATAGGATCTTTATTTGCATCACTGGGCAGTTGATCTTAATAGCTCAGAAAAAAGCCAAACATTAAGTTCTAAACAATTTAAACGTAGTTTCCTGTGAACAGGTCCCTGTATCTGTGAGAAATAGTTTCCAGCTATAACTGTGTTTAGTGTAACGTGACAAAAGCCAGAAATCATCATGTAAACAGTAATAGTCATTTATGTAAGTACAAAGTGTGTGTGTGCTTGTAAGCATCTGAAACTTGAGAAAACTCCGTGCTGAATCTGAAACTAAAAAAAAACTTTGTTTTCATAAATTATTAGAATACAGTGGCATTTTTTCGAAACCATATTGTGAACATTAGTAGTGTGAATGTATTCCAAGCAAATTGTAGCAATGCCTTGTGGCAGGTTTTTTGTCGATAGCTGACATGTATAATGTGTGCAGCTTTCTAACCAGAATTGTTTAATACTGGTAAGTGTACGTTAATGTACAACTTTAGAAAATTTTAATTTCACTTGGCTTTCCTTTTATAGAGTACAAAACTGGAGCAAACAACTGAGGATGTCATCCTGTTTGGCTCAGGAGGTTCACCTTGCTAGAAGACACGAGGAGATGTGAGTAGTTGTGCTCTGCCTCGCAGCAGTTCGTGTTGGGTCTTGTGATTTTCTCCCTCCCTGCCCACGACCCTCGGTGCCCGATAATCTGAGCCCTGCACAGCACAGTGGTGCTGCAGCAAGGGGCTGGAGTTCCAGGAGGTGGCACTCTTCCTTCAGGAACCATGGGAATTATTAGCATCCTTGCCTGCCGTTTAGGGTATTTGGGTTGATGAGGTTTTTGACTTCCAATGGTGGTACTGGTTTAAGATCTCCATTGTCAACCTGTCACTGTTAAATTCCTATTTGGGGAAGGTAATTGGATTCTCTCGCTCAATGCCTCAATTATAGAGTTGCTTTTTGTTGCCCTCAACAAAACTCAAATTGTGAGGCAAGTACAGTAGTGATTCAGGAAGATTTGCTTTTCTTGTAACAACTCGTACGTGCCAACGAGCAAATGTGGTACTGATCAAGTCACCCCAACCCACCCTGTCTTTCCTTCTTGGGGGAGATTCAATGTTTGTGAGCACCTCAGCATCTGAGGACTGCTGGTTGCAAGGTTACAGCTTTGTAGCAGCACAGCAGGTGATGCCTGCCTGTACCTTTTCCCTCCCCCAGCACACCCACCCTGCAGCCGGCTTAATTAGCCCCATAGTTTGGAGAAAACTGGGTAAGGTAAAAAGGTTATTTTCTAGCTCCTGAGCAAAATGTTCTACCCACTTAGCAAAATGTTTTCCTTTGTAGACTGTCTCAGAGATCAGAGCTGCTACAGCAGATGGAGACTTATCTAAGAGACAAAAAGACTAAAAAGACATGGCAAACTCAAGCAGCTGATGCAGCTCATAAAAGGAATGCAGCACTTTTAAATGTAAGTTTCTGCAACTACCAGGAACCGTATCAAAATGTCACAGTTATGTAGCTTAGATAATTAAAAAAAAAAAAGAGAGAGAGAAGTGTGTGCTCTATAGTTGTCATTTGAATTCTCTTCTATATGGTTCCCTCTTCTGGAACTTGACCAAAAAGTATTAAATGACAAGTCCTTATTATCTGATGGCATCACTACCTATTTCCCGTGCCCTTCTTACAAAAGCCTCGTGGTGGCAGCTGCTACTATGTATTTTTATTTTTTTAAGCACATGTAGTGATGTAACACATGCTAGTACATGTCTGCCTGAGACAACTTAGGGTCTGTCAGGACTCACAGCCCCTCTGCACTGCAGGGATGTTTGGAAATGGGCTGACCAGGCTGCAGTGCTTTGGGCCAGGGGTAGGAACTGTTCTCCTGCTGTGGTTAAGTTGTGGAAGAGTTCTCAGTTTAATATTTTTCTCTAAAGAGGTGTAGAGTGACTTCAAGCATTCTGCTTGCAAGTGTGTAAAAGCAGACTTCATAGGGGTGACACCACTAATAATGTTCATACCTGTTGTAATATTCAGGTAAAATTTGTTTCCTAGGTAATTAAAAAGGTCTAAGTTTGACTGAAATACTGAAAGGCTTCTCTGGAACCCCTAGCTCAGGCATCTGAGTTTGAAGAGATGCACTTGACCACTGACATGATGCATTTGAAAAATATGTGTTGCTTTTCCAGGAGGCAGCAGAAAACTGAACCTCCTGTGCCTTTTCTTTAAGCTCCTACCTATTAAGGGTCTATAGTGCATGTGTTGTGTTTATTGAAAAAGTAAGTTTTACTCTAGAAAATGACAAGATTAATTTGTGTCACAAGAATTTCTTTGGGTTTTTTTTTCATGCAGAGCCTGGTTCAGATTTAAAATGTTTGCATTTTGGGTGGGTATAATTCTGTTGCACTAGAGTGTGTATTTAAAAGAGATGTTCATTTAGAGATGGGAAGACAAGAAGAACAGTTAGGCAGGAATGCTTTCCTAGCTATTCTGTGACAAAGAAGATTTTTCAGCTTGGACTGGTGAGCTGGTACACTCTGGACAGGGACAATCAAGCCCCTCTTTATTTGGTATACCAAGTGTAGGTGCATCAGAGAGAGGCTGAGGATAAATGGATGGTTTGGTTATTTTTTCCCTGGCTCCTGCTCCGTTCATTTAGTAATTTCAGCCATTATGATTCCTATTTTCCATAGGCATTTTAGGTTAGATTTTTACTTTGTAAATATAGGCTTTTATAAATTATTTGTGTTTATGAATGCGTTCTCAGTTTACATATACAGACAAGCACAATAAATGCAGAATATATTTCTCCATCCTGAAAGCTATATTGTAGTGGAAATGGGAACAATAGCTCAGACATATACAGAGTGTAAATATTTCTGCAGTTAAACAGATATTTGCTATCTTCTGTCACATCCTCAAAATTGTTCCTTTCAAGTGTCAAAAATGTTGGTGTTTGTACAGAAAAAAAGCAAAAACATATGTATCAAAACAAATTCTGTTGCAGGATAAAATAGCATAAATCAATTTAAATCTATTAATTTTATCCTAGTTTTAACAAGCATGCACTCCTGCAGATGCTTTTTGATAACAGAAGAAAACAGGAAAAAAAAATCTATGCAGCATAATATATGAGAAGCTTGAAAACAAGACTGATTAATGTGCCAGATTCAGAATATTGTTCCTGATACCAGGCACTGTACATTTCACAGTTACCATGTGGAGAGTTGTTGATTTGGCCTACTCAAAAATACATGGACATGACGAAGTGTTATTTTTTTATTTGCATTTCTGGTTTTCTGCGTGTAAGCAAAATCAGTTGTTTTCAGTAATAGATCATAGCAAAAGCCATTTTTCTTTCTCTGTGCTAGTTGGAATTTATGCACAGGAAAGATTTCAAAATTAATTTAAATTCTAATCAGTAGGAAGCAAGGAACTAACCTTTTTTTTTTTTTAATTGAAATTTTGACATTATAAGCATTTGTTCAGCATTTTAGCATAATTATCAGAGTATTTTCCTCAATGTCTTTAGAGGGAGACTGCAGATTAGGGAAATCTGTATCATTTGGTGCTTATATAATGTTGTCGTAATAAAAGCAGAAATTAGACTAGTATTTGTAATCTAATTTATGACATTTGTTTCTCAGTGATATTTCTTGTGTTTAGAAATATGTATTACTGTGCAACAGCTTGTAACATGAAATAGAAAAGAAAGAGTACGCTATATAGTAATTAGTACTGGAAAGGTAATTTAGAACAAATTTGCTTTCCTTCCCAGGCATGCAATTCCAGAATTATTTAAGTGTGATTGTGCCAGACTGATATCAATATAAGTGACAGCTGAATTTGGTCCCCTAAAAGCAATGTATGTGTCATGCATTCCATTTTACCTCTGGGGAAAGGTCTTGAATTGTTTTTGTTCCAGTCCTTGTGGTTTTAGGGGAAGCACTGTAAGATGCTCTCTTTTTTTCAGTACAGTGACATATTAGATTAGCTGGGTTTTTTCCAAAGAAGTTTATACTGCTGATGTATTTATTTTTATATTGATGACAGGGATTTATTTTTCCTATAAAGCTTACCAGTTGTGTAGACACACAAGAAGTGCCATCTAATCTTTCAGTAGTTCCAGTTATTTTCTAAAGCATACTACACCTTCCAGCAAAAATTTCTTTCACTGTCTGTCATTAAATCAGTATTCTGAATGACAATAGACTGCACAACACAAACTGGAGTGAGCAATGAAAAGACACATCCAATATCTAGGCTATGCCAAAGTGACCTTCTCTACTAAACATATATGCACAACTGCTGTCTCCTTCCTTGCCTGAAAGACTTTCATTTCCTATCACCATAAACATTCCAGTTCCTTGGCTGAGTCTATAAAGAAATAATGATTGATACTCTTCTTCCTCCCTGTTAAAATTTCTACAGTAATTAGGAAGAAGGAATCAGAAAGGAGGAAAATGCAGTGGAAGAATATGAGGTGAACATTACTGAATGATCCTTTTTCAGTCTGGTTTGTTATGGGATAACTTCTCCAGACATGGCCTGAGCCATTCTGACACGAGCTTCATTTGGTGCTGTTTGTGTGTGTCTGTTCTAAGTATGTGCAACAGAGAAATTCTTTGCTTAAGTCACTTAAATCTGTGTTGGCCTCTGTTATTTTGACATCAGGATTTCAAATGGCCTATGTCCTTTTTCCTGTTCCCTCTATATGTTTATTCCATTAGTCTTTTCTTACCTGAGAAGGGGCAGCCATTTGCTGCTGCTGAGAATTTGGATAAATCTGAGAATTAGTTTACTCTTTCTCAGACATCACAGTGAAATGGATTTTGCTGTAGAAAAGGGAGGAACAATTTTACTTGGATTAGGTTTGCTATTATATACAAGAGAATATTGTAAAAGGAATTAAATAAAATAAGATGAACACTAAATTGAACAATCTGACTGTGTGTGTCACTAAGTTAAACTTGAGCAGGGCTGGGTTTTTGCTTTTATTAATCATACTCTACTGAACTGAACTTGAGTTGGGCACTGTTTACTTATTGATGTGTTCACACTGGCTATTATTCAATACGAGTAATCATGTTTGGTCTCTCTTGTGGATATGCTCCTCCAGAATCTCACTCTTCTTTTCAGCAGCAGTGGTGGTGAATATTTGGGAAGTCCCTTTGGGGAATTTCCTCTCTCATTTAGTTTTTCTGTTGTACTCTTCACACCCGCTCTCTGCTCCCAACTCTGCCATCTGCTATACTTTCTTTCCCCCTCCACTCTGTTCAGCTTTGGCTTCTTCACACCCCACTCCCACGTCCCTTTCTGTCTCTCTTCATCTGCCCACCACTCAATCTCTTCAATGTTTGGGTATGGAACTAAGCCCACAAGAACAGGTCAGAACTTTAAAGGGGGAGGGTGGTTAGTTTGGGAGCATGCTTTGATTCGTTTGTTGCTGTTGATTTTTTTGGTTGCTTCTTTTTTATAAGATTTATTTGGGCCTGTGTGAATCCAGCACACATCCACTGGACAAGCAGAAACCCAAATACTGATTTTTTTTTTTGGTAAGAAAACTATGTGAGGTGCATTGTCATCCAAGCTTGTCTGGTGAACAGCTTGCTGCAGCTCTACATTTATGTGCACATGTTATGCATGCATATTAGCAAGTCATCTTTGTCTTGAGAAGTAAAGATCTTGCACATAATTTGCCTAGTTACTTTACAGTTACAGTAGCTAGAATACATACTTCAGTCTTATGCAGCACAGAGAAATGTTCTCTTCCCCTCTATTTCCTTAAGTTTTATATAACAGAATTTAACTAATTTACCCTGGTGTCCAGAGAGAATAGCAATGTTTGCAGCAAAAGTCTTACTTGGTTGTGAAATGTACTCTTGTGTGAAAAAGGTGCAGCAAACACATGTAGCAGCTGTAGGGTGTTAGTCTAAGTAGTACAAGCTGTATTTCAGAGTGACTAAACAAATATTTGAACTTCACTGTTAATTTTTGAATGCTGTTTAGCTGTAATGTGTTTATTTAGTTAATTTAATTGTCTTTATGTGTGTGTTTTTCTTTTAAAATTCCCAGTGCTTGTTTTTAAAATGTACTTTGCTTGTGTTTTAGGATATAGAAGCAGCAGAAAAAAGGCTGCAAGAAAGAACATATTTACTTCCACATCCTGATACTGTTAAGTTAGAAGTAAGTCCTAGAACTCTGTCTTTTCATTTGTTTCCATTTGCTGTTTACCAAATATTTTGCTTTTTTTTCCCCTGAAGCGTGTTCTTAAAGTGAAAATAATTGATTTTAAAATCCAGTGACTGGTATAGCCAAAGGCCTGTGTACTGTTGTAGCAAGCTGAACCTAAATTCTGGGACAAGGTCCCTAGATTCTGGAGCATTCTGGTGGAAATATTTAGCAGCTTTCAGGTCTATACAAACTTCTATTCAAAAATGAACTCAAATATAAAAAATCAATACTGTGAATGTTGGAAGATTACTGTGTGTACTATGTCAGAGCTATTTAGTTTGTTTTATATGGTCATCCCATTCTCAGTTTACCACAGATTGTCATCTTTACATTTCAGGGCCAGCAGTTTCTATCAGCATGAACAGAGAAAATTTCCTATCGATTATTTTAGAGCTGTATGGAAGCTTATGAAAAGTACTGCTGCAGGAACACTCAGTTCTTTTTTTTTTCTTTCTCAACCTGCAGTCCCTAAAGCATTACTTCAGATAAAAATTGGAGCAGATTCCCATCTGTTTCTTGCCCCAGTGGCTGGTGTTTGTGCTGTGGGGTGCCTTGGTTCCCAGAGGTGCAGGAGCAGAGTGTCCTGTGCTGGTTTGGGGGCCGGGGCTCTGTCAGAGCAGGGCTCAGGGCCAGGTTCCAGCACTGTCAGCTCTCAAGAGAGGTGGATTGTACCTCAGCTTCACACCTGCTGGGCAAGTGTTGGCATGCTTAGGCTATTACTTAAAGGAGAGGCATCACTTCTTGTTCAAAGTTTTCATCTGTCATTGCATTTTGTAAATAGCCTGCTGTGGCTGTGACAGGGTGCACACTGGCTATGCCCCTTCCGTGGCTTTTTTATTATTTTTAGACATTTTTAGGCAAAAGGGTACATCCTTTCCTGAATACTTGTACGTTTTGAATGATGCTAAGGTAGATGCCAACGTACTAATATTAAACATTGAACCTATCTTGGCTGTGTTCAGAAGGAGTTTTAGACTCTTCAGTGACTTTGGAGGCTCCTCTGAGGTGTTTGGGTCAGTTGGTCCATGGTGGGTGTGAGGCTGCTCCTCCACTGAAGTCAGCACACACTGGAGGCTGCGGAGCGACTGCTCGTGGCTGCAGAATGCCTGCACTCTGCAGCAGTGGTGAAATTTTGGAGAGAGCAGAGTTACTATTTGAAGGAGAAGATCCTATTTCAGCTTTTTTTTTTTTTTTTTATGCTTCTAGAGAAGAGTGCTATAAATAGTGGGAAAAGAAAACTTTCTTTCATGGTACAAAATTCTTGCGCGTGCTTTGTTCCAAAACACTTCTGAGCATATTTCACTCAGCCATGTATGTGTCTGTATTAATATACTCTGAAAGTTATGGCTATAATGGATCCCCAGCTTGCTGAGTCGGAGTAGTTTTGTGTGACAGCACATATGCTTGTCAAAAAAGATTCTTTGAGTAAATCTGTTGAGGAAAATATTTTTGTAAACCTGCAAGAGCCATAGTTATATCTGAGTTACATGTAAGGATCAAAATGATTAGCCAGGAATCCAATACTGTGCAGGGGGATCTTCAGTTTTATGCTGCACTTCTCCTTCATTATAAGTCAAGGAAAAAAGGCTCACTACATATGTATTATAACTGTTTTATACTGCAAAATTGCATTTTTCTGAATGGACATCAATGGCAATAAATACATATGTGGATGGATTAAAGGGCTATCTTAGCACAGTTCTTAGAGCACGTTATTTTGTGGGGAAAAAAATTATACCTGGCACTTAAAATATTCCTGAAAATCCTACCAACACAAAAATTATGAATGAGTAATAACACAGATAAATAATATGTTACATTTACTACTCAGAGGCACAGTGTAAAGCCAGAGGAAAGGTTAGATGATCCACAGTGATTCTCCTAGACCACTCGCTAAATATGCACCACCTTTTTTATTATTATTTTCATTTGTGATCCAAATATTGGATATGATTACTCCCATCAGTGACTTATCAAGTCTAAAATTTTACTCAAATATTTTGAATTATAGTTCTGTATAGTATTGTAAAGTTTTCTAGAATGATCAATTTACATTGGTAAAGGGGCAGCCTTCATTTCTAACTTTTTTTCCTCTGCAAAATGAAATTCCAGTAACATACCTACTTAAATATAAAAACTGCTTTTGGAAAAGTATATAATCATGGAAAATAGTTTATTAAAGGTACTCTAAGGTCTAAACTGATGTGTTGCTTACCACAAGAGGGCATATTCAGTCACTTCACAGTTTGTCCTGCAGAATGAAATATTTCCAAGCTGATATTTTATATCATACAAGAGATTAAAAATTTCATATGTTAAGTACGTTGTTCTTTTCTGAATTGCTTTACTCTTAAAGTAAGATTTAATAATGCATTGCATTTCTATATTGTTTTAAAGTGGCTGACACAGATTTTGAAATTAAGTTTATTTTTTTCTTATATCTTTCTCAGACTCTCTATTGGGCATCAATAAAAGAATCTCTCCCCAAATGGGAAGAGTTTCTTTTAGGAAGAGCAGAAGTTCCTATTGGCTTTAAGAAAATGAAAGCTACAAAGCAGAGCATAAACTACTCTGAAGAAGATTCACAAAAATAAACATTTTAGTTTCATTTTGTTTTGTAATTTATCACTTAAACAGATAAGATCATCCAGATATCAACAGAATATCATGCCATTAAACTGAAATGTAAATAATTTAAATTAAAATGAATTACATAGGATTATTTAATTCCATTGTTGCATTGTGTACGATTCCTTATTTTTATTCTGTACTAGAGAAGCAATCCTCAAATGGGCTTTTAGTATCAAGAATGAGAAACATTTGTGTATAGATTTCCACCAAGGCAATTGGGTTTTCAGTGTGAGAAGGGTTTTATGTTATTTTTAATTCTCTGCTTCTACATATAAGTGCGATAAGTAAAGACAGATTCTTGCATTATCTTTCTTCACTTCAGTCATCTGTGCTGCATGCATTCTGCGTGGATGAGTCAGGAAGGAAGAATTTACTGTTAGCAAAAAGGCAGACTGTGCATCAGAGTTTAGCAGTTCCTGCAGGAACCTGTGCAGGAAGAAACTTGAAGAATTTCTGCATCTGGTTTTTCCCTGGTTTTTTTGTCATTGCCACTTTCATCACTCATACCCCTCACTCCAGGCAGCTTTTCCCAACCTCCTTCTGCCTGCATTGTATTTGTTGTCTAACGGGTGGGCAAACGAATCTCTAGGGCTTTGTGCTACCTCTAGGCTGCTCTTAATTCTGTTTTTTTTCTGCTGATAAATCTACAAGTGAGAACTTCTGAGGTACAGGAAGTTTGAAGAAGCAAACTGAAAGGTCACTGGCAGTGGGAAGTTTGAAGAAGCAAACTGAAAGGTCCCTGGCAGGGGCTTTCCACGAGTCTGGAAAGCTTTTCAATGACCGAAAATGAAAATATTACATCTGCAACTTCTAGAAGTTGACTTTGATATCTCGTAGAATTTGAAGGTGTAATATTTTCATTTTCAGTTATTGTGAAAAATTCACTGGTACACAACTTTTAGAAATGTCAGTTTCAGTGGAAGATCCTTTCTGGTGTGTGACATGGCCTGCAAAAAAATTTCTTTCCTAAGCAAAAGAAGCTGATAAAATATTAATTTCTTTTATTGTTAAGAACCTGGACAGATTAACAGTCAATATACTGTTAAAATTTAATCTCTTGCAAAAACATCATTCCACCCCCAACCTGGAAGTAGTAGGGAAAAAAAAGTACCTCTGCCAGTGTGTGAGGATATGAAAATGTAATGATTGCAAATATTACTAGTCTGCTAGTTATCTGAGCTATGCATCTTCATACTACATAGAGAGAGACTCCATCGTTCAAAAAACATTATATTCCTATGCAACATGAAGAATCACTGACACAATAAAATCAAAACTTTAGGTGCAATATTAAATTGTGTATTTTCCACAGGAATATTAGGAGTTCATTTTAAACTTTTTCTATTGAAGTGTCCATTAAACTGATAACTTTTTACAGAAACTGCCATCTTAGAATTATCCTGTTGAGTGGGTGTTGGTGTTTGTAACAATAACGTTGTTTTCATAATATGTGATGGCAGATTAGCACGCTTCTCTGCAGTGTTGTTAACAGTTGTAATTAAGGAATAAACAGTAAAGGGTGTCAGTCCGATGACAATTTCATCTATAGTGTCACAATACAAAATGTCACAAAATATTAGAACTGTTATATAACTACAAAAATATCAAATTAGGCTTTCATCTTACAAGCTGAGAGCTTAAAAAAAACTTGGCATAGAGACCATTGCAATTTTATACCTACTCAGTGTTCTGTCACAAAGACAACTTGGTAATATTTTCTTCTGTAAACTCACAATGTGATTCTCAGTCTGATTTAGTAGGAATGTGTATGGATCTTACAGTTGTATAGCTCACGTTTAAAAAGCAAATAATTGGAACCATTTGAGCACACAAGAATGGAAAACCTATTCTAGATGATACTCAGAATGAAGGGATGGATGAGCAGTTACTAACAATGGGACTCATCCTGTTCTTTGCATCCAAAGGGAAATCACTTCAACAAAAATCTGGGCCCCTAAATACTTGATACATGGAATAATCCGAATCTTTATCTCTTCTGACTCTGCCTAACCACTGGGACACGATGCAGGTTCTCACTCTCCTTGCCCTGGTGCTTTCCCCTGGAAGGAGATCTGGCCGTGTGGGCCTGGAGTGCATGGCAGCTCCATGGGTGAGAGTTTGGCAATGTGCATGAAAGGCACCTGCAAGCAGGGTTAGAGAGCTTACCCTGCTGCACTTAGGTGCTCACATAGCATGCCTGAGAGTAAAATGAAATTATCTTCAAGGAAGGAATTTAATTTTATTTCCTGCAGCATAACTTTAGAAGCAATAGGGCAACTAGTTCAAGGAAAACTATGTAGGAACATGTCCAGGAAAATAACAACTGGATGAAGAGAACCATTTAAAGCAGGAATATGTGTAGGTGACTGTTCTCAGAGACAAGGGCCTTCATGTTGGCCTGTGGTTTGAAACAAATAAATGGAATTGCCTATGACTGTGAAATAGCACAGTAATAGGGACAGGGGCAAGTGTCTGCTGAGTTGGGCCATGCAGTGGCAAGGAACCATAATTATATGGGATCTCCTGTTCTACTTACATTTGTTGAGTTTAATTTGCCATGGCTGGGCTAGCTTGATACTTGCCTTTTTATAGATACAGATTTGAGAAAGCAAATATAAAATTTTGGTGTGCTTTAAAAAAATTTAAGAATCTCCCTAAGTGATTTGTACTGATATACCTATGAGATCTTGAATGGGTATTCTTCACCAGATCAAGGCAGTCATTTCAAACATATTGATTCTATGTAGTTATACCCTATCTTATCCCAAGCATTTCTATATATAAAAGAAAATATAAAATATAGGAATTACATCATATATATCTGTTGTAATTTCCTACTCATTGTGAGTAAATTTTTTCTCAAAATAAAAACAAACTCACCACGTCCACCCAAAAGAACAAAAAAACCAAAGGCAAACAAAAAAAAAAGCCAAAAAAAAGAAAACAAAAACACACCCCCCCCACCAAAAAACTTCTTATTCTATAGTCTTGACTTGCTGCTTGCCCTTTTGTGTTCCAATATATGTATATATAAGGTGCAGCGGTCCTCAGGGCCTGTTGCTTTTCTGTTAGGTGGGGAACAGCAACTGAGTAAAGAGCAGTGAGAAAAGGTCGTCTTGTTTGTAAGTTAATATTGTAGTATCTTGCAAGAAGAAATAATTAATCATACTTTTCTAGTTTAATGCACAGATGAGTAACCCCAATACTAATCCAGGAGCACAGCCTGTTTACCCATCTTGTCACCTCTACCATCACATTCTCAATCTTTTTACTTTCTCAGTTATTCTGGCTGTGGGGGCAGGAGCAGAAGGCAAGGCATGTTACTTTTTCCTAACATAAGAAATTTCTTACTCTGCAGAATCTTCCACAAGCCTATTAATTTAATTTGAGAGTATATTGAAATAGTAAGTTGGTTTACATGCATATCTGACACTATGGTATCCTCTTGATTGTATTTATTCAGGATCATGTTTTCATAGAAGTTGGGAGCTAATTTTTAGGCTGAGCTTATAGTTCTTAATTTGTGTCTTTTTCATTCACATAGACCAGGTTGGGGATGTAGTTGCTCAGTTTGAGCTTGTTGGTACTGAAAAATAAGAAAACCAAATTTAAAAGGGAATGTACTTTCAGATATAACCTCTAAAAGAAAACATTATTTACTCCATAATGGTAATTTTCATAATATTTTAATACTTGTGTTCAGATACAACTTGACCTTAAATATCACCCCAAATGCAAGCTGTTTTAACATATTTGTAATGCTAAGGTCTTCATTACTGTGATATTCTGTTTGCTCAAGGATTATAATCCATGGATATACTGTGTTATAGTTGAAATAAAGCTTTGATCAGTGTTGCATTCCATGTATGAGTTGGATGTAAATTGGTGCCTGCTGCAGCCAAGTGTGAACAATGAGTAGATAAATAACTTTGCTTAGGTATGGTGTTTGCTTTCCTCTGACTCTGATATGCAATATTAATCTGCTGAATGAAGATTAAAATCTCAGAAGTTTACTGATGAAAAATCCAAATGTAATGAATCCCAGATCGATTATTTTCACTCTTCCTATTGTTTCATAATGTGTAAACTAAATTACTTCAGATATACGATTACTAGGAAGATGTAGATACAGATACTTAAACCCTTGCTAAGGAAACAGGTGGGGGAAAATGGTTCTTCAGTACATCCTCCTGCTGTGTGAAACTCTTTGTCTTTGCTATAAATAGGGTGATTTAATTTGGGAATTTGCTACTCCTTTTAAACACAGTTAAAACAGCTCTTGAAAATGCGCTAAGCTGTACCCGCTGTGTTTGTAGCCTTCCAGTTGTAGCTTTTACATTTGGCTTACTTTGAATACGTGTGTTTTTAACGCATACGGGTAGAAAGTATGCTCGCTTCTTCCCATAAGTTTTATCGCTGTGATGATAATCTTAAAAATAAATGTGTGGTGTTCTTTCCCCTCACTCTCAGTCGTATCACCTACCAGAAAACCCTAATAAGCAACAAAATAGTGTGAGACAGTATTTACATCACACTTTTGAAACAGATTCAAGCAGAACCAGCTGCTGTAAGATTATTTTACAAACCTATTGTAAATTAATAAAAGGAAAAAATTGCCTTCCTTTAGGTAAATTGCAGTCTCCTTCACTAATTACCGTAGCTTGAAGCCGCAGTAAATAAGTACCTGCCTTACGGCGGTGAATGGGAAATGAGAAATGTAATTTTGGTAACCAGACTTGCCTTTCTTTACCCATTTAGTTCGTATGTGTTCCAATAGCTTCATTCAGGGAGCTCTGAGTGTTGCTCAATAAAAGCTTCCGGAGGATAATGCGTTCAAAGTGAAGCACATGCCGGCAGCTTTGTTCA